TTTCTTTCTGGCATTAGTAGTCAACTGGTAGAGAGTTGAGAGCTAGCAGATTTATCCTAAGGGTACAGGTAGGAGGAGAAAGGGCATTCCTTTTTGTGGAGGAGTTTGATATTTTGAAATCTGGTTTCATTCTGATTTGGAAGGAAACCCCAAAACTTCAACATTCTTTCCTAAAGAAGAGGGAAGCTGATGTGTCATGTGTCCAGTCTGCTGGGTTGGCTGCGCTGAAGTTGTGGTCCCTGTTTATCCAGGCCATGCAAGGCAGGGAGCTTACTAGGCAAGCTGCAGACGATAGTGGGTCCATCAGCAATGCACTACCTTAGGCTTTAGGAGAGTGGGGTTCAATTCTGTGTTCTGCTACAGGCTTCTTGGTATAGAATTTTGCCTCCATTTCCATCTGTAAAATGGAGCTAATAGTACTTGTCTGCTTCACAGGAAAACCGTGAGGATAAATCCATTAAAGATTTTAAGGGGCTCAGATACTACATGACTATCTAAGATCCATTTGCGAACCAGAGTTTCCAAGCTCCCCACTGGTCTGGCTGCTGAGTGAACATGCTGGCATGGAATCAGGAAGGTTTCTGATGGAATACCAATTTCAGTGCAGGTCTGAGTGAAGCTTAATATAATGGAGGAGAGTCAATTTCGCTAATAGAGATGTTTCTATGTAATTTACAGGAGTCAGGGGATGTGACATGGTTGTCAATATTTAAGGGGAGGTGGCATGTATTTTAACCATTACATCTTTTATGTCACAGCTAAATTCTCTTCTCAGTGACAACTGAATAACTGTTGATGTCAATGAATGTGCACCATTGTGACTTGGAAGAGAATCTGTATCTTTATTTATGATATGTCTGAATGCAGAATAGGTAAATAAAAAAGCAAACTGGTAAATAAAAAAGCAAATTGAAAGAGCCAGACGAATACCTAGAAACCATCTACTACAAGACAGACCCAAGAAAACCAACAATAGAACACCACTTGTCATCGCCTACAACCCCCAACTTAAACCTGTCCAACACATTATCAATAACCTACAGCCTATACTGGAACAGGATACCATACTCCAAGAGGCTCTGGGAGACAGACCCATAGTCTCCTATAGACAACCACCTAACCTCAAGATGATTCTTACCAACAAACACAGGACATACCACACTAATACCAACCCTGGTACCTTCCCTTGCAACAAACCCCGTTTCCAGCTTTGTCCACATATTCATTCTGCTGATACCATTATTGGACCTAGCCAAGTGAGTTATAAGATCAAGAACACATATTCCTGCGCATCCAGAAATATAATCTACGCTATCATGTGCCGAAAGTGTCCGTCTGCTATGTACATTGGACAAACATCTCAGACCCTTCGCCAAAGGATTAATGCCCACAAAACAGATATCAGACAAGATCACAAAGAAAAAACAGTTTCTTGCCATTTCAACCAGAAAGGACACTCTCTCAATGACTTAACCACCTGCATTCCGCTACAAAGACCTTTTACATCTGCACTTGAAAGGGAATCCTCTGAACTGTCATTCATGTTAAAATTCGACACTCTCCGGGAGGGAATGAACAAAGACCCAAACTATCTTACCCATTACCAAGATAGCTTCCCCAGTTATCACCTCTAATACCATTAGCTCACAGACATCTAACTTTCCCCACCTCTAATATCATTAATTCACAGACACTTACCTTCCTTCCTCCCCCCCCCCCATCCCCCTTCTGTTCTGAAATGTGATTTGTCCTTTTCATATGTATTCACTTTTATTTAATTGTATCCTTTGGTATATATGGTTGTGACTATTTTCTTCCACTATTTGATCTGAGGAAGTGGGTCTGGCCCACGAAAGCTCATCATCTAATAAACCATCTTGTTAGTCTTTAAAGTGCTACATAGTCCTGCATTTTGCTTCAGAATAGGTAGGAGCTGTAAGTCCATTAGCTTCTAGCCTTTCCATTTGTTGGACACCAATGTAACATGTGTGGTATAAGAGCCTGAATAGAATGCAGCTTATACAGGGAATTCACTTCTATTTCCGTCAGCTGTTGCAGTTTTAGGCAATGATGACATCCTGCTGCCTCCAGTTTCCATTTACCTAGGCTTAAAATAATGACACAGCAAGAATAGCTGCACAGGATTTAAAGCTGCACTGGCAAGAGTATTCTGCAGGAAAGATAAACTAAAACCACCTTTTATAAATATTAGAAGCTCAATGTGGAAAAAACACATGAAGTGATTGCCACATCCAATTTTTGCACTTTGGTTTGCACATCGATGTAAATAGAAACTAACTGAATATCTATTTAAGGAGGATGTAATATAAAGAAGGTACTTGGAACTCTTTCTGGATAACTTAAGGTTATTTCAAATAGATTACTGAAGATGGTTAATGATTACTTCTGATAATGTCTAATAACTTTGTTTTTTTCACCTACATTGATGAAACCCTATCAAGAGGATTGCTCTGAGGAATATAATTCTGTTCCCATCCAAGCTTGTTGTATCTACTGCTGCCTGAACTCTCTGTGATCTGGGACCATGTTATCTCATCCACAGAAGAAATATTTCTCCACTTACTAGGCTATGGCTTTACAATTCCTTCCATAGCCGGGACATTCATGCACTGTCACAGCATTGTCCCCTGTGCCCTCCTGCCTACACACAGTGTACTGGTGGGTCAACAATCCACAGCGAAGGAGATCAAGAATAAATCCAGAAAGACATTCATAAGCAGTTCCTCCTTGAAGTATTTTCAGAGGTTCAAGCTTTTGTAATTCACAGTATTGCTTTTACCCCAGTTGCCTGCAGGTAAGTTTATCAAGTAACAGCTTTCTCCACCAGACTCCTGCAATATCAAAATCAATCCACTGTGTCTCCCAGTAGAACAGGGGGTGTGAGTTAGAGATCTAAGTTAATTAATTGTCAGTACTCATTCCTACTGATTTAAAGAAAAAAAATCCTCCACCAAACACACTTCAAATTTTTTTCTCTAGTGCAGTGGTCATCAGCCAGTAGATCGGGATCAGCCAGTAGACCTTGAAGCCTCTGACAGGTGATCCTGACTGGTTTGGCCAAAAGGCTATCAAGTGCAGCCACTTCACCTGCCCCTCCCCCCACTGCTGTGCACCTCCTGCTCTTTGCCTTGTAGCTCTCCACTCCCTCCCCCTCAACGGGGAGCCTCCTGCTTGCGGTACAGAGCAGGAAGGGAGAGGAGAGGGTGCTGATGTCAGGACGCCCCTTCTTCCACCCTGTATTCTGTCTCCACAGTCCGGGGGGTGGGAGGGAGGGGAGCTCAACAGGGATGGGGATGGAGGGAGTTTGCTAGCTACTCATGAGAGTGGTGCAGGGCCAGGGCGGGGATGATCCTACCTTAGCCCCACTGCACCACCACCCAAGAGCCACCTGAGGTAAGCAGTGTCCAGTTGGAGCCAGCTCTGAACCCCTGCCCCAGTCATGAAACCTCCTCCTGCACCTCAAGTCCTAGCCCTGAGCCCCTGGACCCAAACTCCCTTACAGAGCCTGTATCCTGAACCCCTTCCTGTACCCCCACTCCCTGCCCAGGCTCAGCTCAGAACCCCCTCACACTCAAAATCCCTTAGCTCAAGCCTGTGCTCCAACCCTCTGCCCCTGCCTGATGAAAAAGAGGGAGAATGAGGGAGAGAGGAAGGAAGGAAGGAAGGAGTGAGCAGTTTGAAGGCCTCGGAGAAACAATATGAAGGAGGCGGGGCAAAGGTATTTGGGTTTGAAGTAGATCTTACATTGCACTTAAATTCAAAAAGGGATCTTGTGCTTAAGAAGGTTGGAGACCCCTGTTCTAGTGACTTGGTCAGTTTAAGGAGATCATCTTAAGAAACCCATGGGAGCAATCTACAGTGATTTATGCTAGTGTAAAACAGCAGTAAATATTGAGTTCAATGGGTTTACATGTTTATACTGGTAGGGAGATTCACAGCCTTTGGGTGGAGACAGAATAGAACAAACAACAAAAGACACCAGTACAATTTGTCCTCTGCTTTGTCTGCCCTCACCCTGAGCACTGCACTACTCTTTTAAGTGCATGATCAATCACCACTGTAGCTAAAATCTGGCAAGGTACTCCACCATATCCACATACCAGGGAGTTAACAGGCTAGAGATATACAACTATAATCCTGGCTCCCTTCTATCCTGGGTAGAAGCCATTCTGCCAGCTCTCTGTGACAGAGACTTCAAAGGGGTATAAAGTGGTGAGACTAGAATGGAAGTGGGTATGGGCCATGTGTTTTTTGCTTGCATAGCCCCCTACCCAGGAAATAGCTCGTGCATGTTTTTCTTCCTTTGCGCCCACCCACCCCCACCTGCAGGAGTTGTGGTCATTGTTGGCCAGATTATGTGCCTGTTACACATTCTGGCTACGTCTAGACTGGCATGATTTTCCCGAAATGCTTTTAATGGAAAAGTTTTCCGTTAAAAACATTTTTGGAACAGAGCATCTAGATTGGCACGGACGCTTTTCCGCAAAAGCACTTTTTGTGGAAAAGCATCCGTGACAATCTAGGCTTCCTTTTCCGCAAAAAAGCCCCAATCGCCATTTTCGCGATCGGGGCTTTTTTGCAGAAAACAAATCTGAGCTATCTACACTGGCCCTTTTTGCACAAGACTTTTGTGCAAAAGGACTTTTGCCTGAACGGGAGCAGCATAGTATTTCCACAAGAACACTGACAATCTTACTTGAGATCGTCAGTGCTTTTGCGGAAATTCAAGTGGCCAGTGTAGACAGCTGGCAAGTTTTTCCCGGAAAAGCGGCTGATTTTCCGGAAAAACTGGCCGGTCTAGACACAGCCTCTATGTCTGAATGTCCAACAGCAGATTTTCCACCAGCAGAGAGTTTGGCTGTAGGGTTTTTTGAAGTTTCACTTAAGTATTTGAAAGCAGGGAATGTGAAATAACAGTCAGCGTGTAAAATCAAAGTTCACCAAGAGCAAAATCTTTACAACGCTCAGATATAAACTGTCACTCCACTGCTCAAGGTTACAGTGTGTGTCTTTTATTTAGAAGACCTTGTTCAGATTCTAGCTTTTTTTCCTTCTAGCTGAGACAAAATTTCTTCATGCTGACTTCAACCAGAGAGCAACTTGTTTCACACCATTTTGTCATTTTCAGTCCACAAATTAAAAAACAAAATAACCCCCATAATGGTCCCATGACTACCAGAACAATTCATTTGAGAAATGAACAGAAAATAACCTACTTTATTTCCATATCTATGATTGTATAACACTGTGCAATGTAAAATATTAATAACATTATTTACAAAAGGTCTGCTAAATGTTTACAATTAATGTACCTTATTAAAATGGGATTGGAGATTACATCTGTTTTTCTGGTAAAAACAAAACCCCATACTCCTCAGTCATATACTATCACATTCTAAATAACATGGAATTTCAGACCTTACAAAAATACTTTAATTATGAATTCACAAGTAAAAACCATCTTTTAATACTAGAATATCTAGCATGGAAAGTGCTACCAGACCATTTGTTGTTTTTAGCATGGAAAAAGTTTGTCCTTGTTGCTGTTGAATGTGTAGTTTTTATGCAGAACTCAAATCTGCATAAAAAGGCTAGATTCACAAAGGGACTCAAGTGTTTTAATGCCTTTTTAGATGCTGCTTATAACCAATCACGAAAGCACTTTTCAGGTACTGCTTAACCCTGAAGGTTCTTAAATTTCCACCTGATGCCTCCTCACAGTTAATAAGTTGGTTGAAGTCCTATCTTATACAGCAGGTTTTGCAAACTAGGTGTTCCCATGCCTAACCTGCACAGAGACAGTAAGAAATTTGTAGGTGTGGCCACAAGTGTGCTCCCCTCCAAATACTCAATAGACCAATCATAGAACACTAGAACTGGAAGGGACCTTGAGAGGTTATCGAATCCAGTCCCCTGCCCTCACGGCAGGACCCAATACCATCTAGCCCATCTCTGGTAGATGTGTATCCTGCTTTTACATATGTCGAGAAATGGAGATTCCTCAACCTCCCTAGGTTAGGATACTCACCTGGGATGTTGGACACCTGTTTTTAAATCTGTGTGGAGCAGGGATTTGGAGCAGTGACTGAAACTCAGATCTTCCATGTCTGGTAAGAGTGCCTTAGGTCATTAGGTTATTGTCTACAAAATATTTGCTTCTCCCAACATCAGTTTTATAGAATGCATTTAATCTCCAAAGTTCAAATGTTCATGTTCTGTAATGCTTCAGAATAGACATTACAGCAAGGGGAAGGGGATCTCCTGTTGCTGTCATTAATCCACCTCCAACAGCCAGTAGGATTCTTCTGTTGACCTAGTGTTGTCTATATATGGGTTAAGTCAGCTTAACTATGTGGATTTTTCTTATCTCTTAGCGACATAGCTGGATCAACCTAACATTTTAGCACAGGCCAGGCCTCAATCTCTTCCCTCTTGAAACAGGTCACCTTTGTATAAATAATCAGTAGGTGATTGATTGTACAGTTCACTAGTGAGAATATTTAGCTGATCATGTCTCCCAAATTTCAAACGGGGAGGAAATCAAGCAAGGTAGGGATTTAAAAATAGGACTCCCATGTCCCACTGGTCAATTGGCTTGAATTAGCTCTGTCTTGCTCTCATAATGAAAGAGGGCTGAGCTGTCTTAGACACCTAATTCCAGGAGAGGGTTCAGGGCCCAGAATTCCAAGTGGAATTAGGATCCAAATCCTCAAAAGTGCTTTTCATCTGCATTTCACTTCTAGTTAGCTCTAGTTCCCTGCTCAGCATGTTGGCTTCTGAGAAACCTCTTCTTGGTCCCATAACTCTCCTCATGCACTGGGAATTGCACTGGTCCCAAGAGTGTTGTAATGTAATGCCTAACTCCTAAGTCCCTTCTGTGACTCTAACCCAGAGGTATGGTGAGTTTCTGCTTGTCATAAGAATGTTCTTAAGGCACTTATGGAAACAGTTCCCTATTTAATCCTTATATACCATTCACATGTTTATCCTGCCTTGACTCTTTAAGATAGGTGTTTAAGATTACATATCAAACCTTCACCCCACTTGGTTTAATGTTACTGATTTTTTTTGGCAGCTTTTTAAGAGGAATATTGACTCCACCCATTTGCATCATGTTAGCTGTTTTGCAATCCCAAAACTGTGTTCTGACAGCTACCAGACATTAGCTCATTCATTTCATTTTGTTTACTTTCCTCTTTAGTCTCATGGTTGGGGTGATGTCTTGGAGATGCTGCTCTTCTGGATTTTTTAAGGAAAACCTTCATCAGCAGATAGCAGAATTCAGCCACATTTAACAAAATGCAAATAGCAGACACAGCAATCATGAAAATAGTGAACACTGTCTTTTCAGTGGGCCGAGAGACAAAGCAGTCCACTGTGTTGGGGCAAGGCCAGACGTTGCACTTCACTAGTCGTGGCATTTGGAAGCCATCATACATGAAATAAAATGCATACATAAAGAGGGATTCAAAGATCATTCTGAAGAATATGCTGCTGGTGTAGGTCCACCACAAAGGACCCTGAATAGGAAATCTTTGTAATTTTATTTCTTCAATATCTTTATATTCGCAGGTCTGCCCTCCCTTTCTTAACTGCTTTTTATTCTCATGCCTCCTGTATGCAACATGCATGGCTACGAGAAGTGCGGGAGTTGAGACAAAAATGAGCTGAAGGGCCCACAGTCTAATGTGAGAGATGGGGAAGAAGTGGTCGTAGCAAACATTTTTGCATCCGGGTTGCAGAGTGTTACAGACAAAATCATTTTGTTCGTCTCCCCAGACTTCTTCTGCAGCCACCACGAGGATCATAACACGGAAAATGAACATAATGGTGAGCCAGATCTTCCCAATACTTGTGGAGTGTTTGTTTACACCTCCTAAAATGGTCTGCAGCGTTCCCCAGTCCATTGTTGCGTTTCAGTCCTTTGACCTAACAAGAAAAAATGAATATATCAAATGATCCTAAATCATGTATTAAGAAGTCAATGTCAACAAATTTGTGATACAAGATGTATAACAACACAATATTTATGGGCTGCAGTAACAGTTTCACTGCTAGTTGGCATATCATTGTCTTACATGGTAACTACAAGTAGCCATGCTGAGATCACATTTTTACTCTTAACTAAAATGGCTGATTTGTTTAATCCATGAATTCTAACCTACTGATTCAAGCAGAAAGAACTGATAACAGTAGCTGTGTTATGCACCAAACCTCAAATCACTGCCTGCAATACACAACAAGTTAAGTTTATAGATGTAATCCAATTTGCGCCCCCTAGTTTTTCATCCTTCCGAAAAGGATGAACGAAGCACTATGAAGTTATAGTGTGAAGTCTTTTGGAGGAGACCTCAAAAAAGACATTATTCCTCTGGTCTGCTCTACATAGACATAAAGATCTTTTTTTAAATAATGTAACTTATCTATTTAAGAGCAAGGGTTTAACCTGGTGGCCTGGGTCAAATTTTTCCATCCCCTCTGGCAGCCAAGTGGGCAGCCCTTTGCACAGTGTGTGTTTAAGTGTACAACATAGAATTTGCCCAGAACTTTCTCTCATAGGATCATCCAAAGTACCATATAAAAAGTTATGATCTTGTGCTATAATCTTCAATCAACCAAGGTCTCAGGAGACACAAAAAGTAAGAACTGGGGTTTCAGATAATCAGGGAAGTCGTCTTAGCAAAATTTGAAGTGTGAAATCCTCAAGAGGGACTTCAAGGCCTGTTGGCTAGTATCCTCAGAAAGACCATCTAGCTCTACAGTTCTGAACCATAGTGTTTTTGCCATTCTATGATACAGAGCTTTTTAGCCATAAGCATCTTCACATCTTGCCACATGAGCCAGCCACCAGGAAAGCCAACCAATTCCATTACCAAATATCACCAACACTGAAGTTGGAACTCTTCAGATGGCAAACTTCCAATAGGCAACATTCAGATAAATGAGAGAGTGTTGTATGGATTATGCCCTGTTTGTCTCCATACCAAAGTGCCGCAATAGATTATGGGAACCAAGAGCAAACGATAACCAGAATGGAGTTCTCCTCACATAGAATATTGACTACTATTACTCCCCCTCACTGATTTACAGAAGTTTCATTTTAAGTCTGGCTAGCCATTAACTCACTTATTTTTACAGGATAAAAAGACTAGTTAGAAACTGAAGAATTCTGTTCTGTCAGTAAGAATCAAACATTTTGATCTGTAAATGCTGGGGGAGTGTGGCTAGCATCAAACCCAGCATGCATTAAATTATCATTGAGCTGGAGAGAAAGCTTTGAATTTGGTGTACACTCCATTTTCTCCAGAGATTTTTCTCCACAGTCCTGAAGGAAATGGCTGATAAAAAGCATTAGCTCAGTGTAGGCAGATTGTTTTCATTATTTTAATATCTCCAGGAAGAGGAAAACCCCAGAAAAATCAAGCAGACAAACAAATGAACCAGAACACATTCCACAAATCTGGCTTATTGGTCTTCTTCCCTCCACCCTTTCAGCAGTGTCAAGCATCATCCTTTGAAGTTCCCACTCTGTGTTTTCTCTTGGCTTTGAAATTTCTGTACCAAGAGACTTTTCTGATGTTGGTTTTACTATTTAAGAAAATACTAGGGGGCGCTCGCTACACTCACCAACCCCTCTCCCATCCTCCCGAGCACCAGGGAGAGGGGAATGGGAAGGCTGTGTGGCTCCATTCCCCATCCCCCGGAGCACCTGGGAGGCCACATGGCTGCTGCCGTCCCCCCAGAGCACCGGGGAGACAAGGGAGGTCACGTGGCTGTCACCCCCCTCCCACCCAAGCACTGGCGAAGCTGTGCGGCTTCTGCCCCATCCTCCAGAACACCACAGAGGCCACTTGGCTGCTGCCCCAAGCATTGGGGAGGCCTCACAGTTCCTGCCCTATCCTCTGGAGGGAGGGAGGAAGGACACCCAGCGGCTGAGTGGGGAGGAAATGAGATCAGTGGCTGAGAGACCAATCCCTTAGTACCATCACTCCACCAATAGGTCACACTGGCTATCCCTACTCTAAGGAAGCTCCAAATCAAACACTGGTCATAACATTATGTAGGGTAGATGACAACAAAATAGTCTAGTAATCCTAACTGAAAGAGTTCAGGGAAAGTTCAGTTCCTTTGATTTACTTCCACTTCCCTCTGAGTATTATGAGCTACTCTACTGACTCACTATTATTGATCATCTTTATTCCAGATATTTGTTTCTCAGAACCTTTTACTGATGAAGTAAGTAAAATATTAACTATCCTGCTGAAAAAATTAAGGCAGTCTGTGCAAGGAAAGAGAGTCAGATCAGCCTATGCTTTCATAGAAGCAGCACTGCTCTGTAACTGCCAGGCCACTGTACACACATTGGGTCCCTGATCCAGAAAACATTTAAGCATGAGCATAACTTAAAGCATACAAATAGCCCCATTATCTTAAATTCTTTGCTACATGAAGGCCTGGGAGTGTGCCCCCTTATCACCTGCAAAAGGCAGCAGTAGACGAGGAAGGAGGTTCTGTGGAAATCTCAGGCAGAAAAGGGAAGCAAAGATATACAGGAAAATGTAGAGTCAAAAGGAAGGAGCTGAGGAGACTACTGTGCAGGGACTGAGCCACATAACTCAAGGACACCAAGGTCTGGTCTACATGGGCACATCTACACAGAAGGGCTAAGCTCAAAATAAGCTATGCAACTCGAGCTACGCTAATTGCTTAGCTTAAGCTGAAATAGCTTATTTCAACTTTTAGCACTGTCTATACAGCTGTGATTTCGAAATAGAGCACTCTTCCTCCAACTTCCCTTACTCCTCATACAATGAGGGTTACAGGTGTCAGAGTAAGAAGCCCGTTATTTTGAATTTATTTTGAAATAATGGGCTTGCTGTGTAGACACACACTGATGTTATTCCAAAATAACGCTGCTGTGCAGACAAAGCTTATGAACCCAGGAAGGTTGGCTTAAGGTACGCAACTCCAACTATGCAAATGAGAAGCTGGAGTCAGCTTACCTTAAGCTGAGCACTATGCAAATGCGAAGCTGGAGTCAGCTTACCTTAAGCTGAGCTTGGGCTCCCGTTGGCCTCCTGCTGCATGGATGCCGCCAATGCTCTCGTTGGCTTTCCTTACTCCTTGCAAAAGAAGGAGTGCCAGACGCCAGTGGGAGCTGCCCTCAGCATTCAATTTATGGGTCTATACTACACACGCTAAATTGAACATTAGAAAAATCAACCTCTGGAGTGTCAATCTTACGCTAAGTCTAGATGTGTCCTGAGTAACTGAACTTTCAGTCTCCACTGCGGAGAAACTCCTCCCTTAAATAAATGTTAAAAATTACAAACATTTCTATATCAACAATGGTTTGAAATGGGGAAGAAGCCATTGCACATCTGAGCACCAGTCACAGCAGCATTACCGCACTGGTTATTCTGCTGGGATACCCAGGGGGCCAAGATATCAACGTGATCACTAGCAGCAGAGGGGTACTGCACGCCTACTTAACATAACATCAGGATACTAGAGTCGAGAGCTGCAATTGCAAAGTGAGAAGGCACTTTGTGCTTGCATTGCGGAGCCCTAGGATAATAGATCTCAGTGCTGGAATCATCAAGACTCAGTAATTCAATTACAGTCACTTCCCTCTTAGCAGATGCCTTTCTCACTCAGTTAAAAGCTGGATACAACAGGTGGTCTTTAATTAGAAGTTAACAATAGCTCTTCAACAAACCAGATGTTCGACATTGCAGTGTATGCAGACATGCTAGGTTTGTATTAATAAAATGGTGAAAAAGATAAAACAATTACATTCTTTTCACATAAAGCTAACTATTGTGGAACTCCCCACTACAGAATATTATCAGGCAAATATCTTACTAGTAAGATTAAAAAAGAAGCTCATATAATATTCTCTGTTTGTATTACAGTAGGACCTGAAGAAAGCCAGTCATGAATGCTGTCCTATTGTACTAGGCACTGTACAAATTCAGAATAAGATCATGCCCTATACCTATAAATAGGATCTTGATTTACTCATTTCCCCAGACTTGCATATGGACATGGATGATGACTATAGTGCCTCTACTGGCTTATCAGGCTCAGGTTTCATATGTTTGGCATCCCATGAATGCCCCATTGTTGCCTTCATAATAATGCTTTTAGATTTTAAATATGACTACATCATATCTGATATGACTTCCTTTTGACTCTACAAAAATATCAGATACATCAACTGATTTAGTGAAAAAACACTAGCAATCAGTTCAAATTAAGGTTTCATACTATGACATTTTACTGTTCTATATACTATACATTGAAATGTGAATGCAATATTTTATAATTATATGGTAAAAAATGAGAGTGAGCAATATTTCAGTAAAAGTGTGCTGTGACACTTTGGCATTTCATGTCAGATTTTGTAAGCAAATAGTTTAAGTGAGGTGAAACTTGGGGGTACGCAAAGCAAATCAGACTCCTGAAAGGGTTACAGTAACCTGGAAAGATTCAGAGCCACTGTACTAATTAACTCAGAAGCAAAAGGCTCCGAGATAATTAGACCTTTACTTACTGGATTAAAATGTAACACTGCAAAGCATGTGGCAAGCAAGTATACATTTGTCAAATAATTATTTATTGACTAAAGGCTCAATCCTGTAAGATGAAGTATCTTCAGCTCCCGTAGTGACTCAGCACCACAAAGGATGGATTTGGCAAGGATCTGTGGATATATGTCTAAAAATATATGGATTTTTTAAAGAGAACTTTTAGTAGTTTTTAGAAATAACTTCCTTGGTTTCACTCTCCTTATAAACAAGAATGATTAAAGGTTTAGAGAACATGACCTATGAAGCCAGGCTTCATGGACTGGGCTTGTTTAGTTTGGAAAAAAGAAGATTAAGGGGGGACATGATAGCGGTTTTCAAATATCTAAAAGGGTGTCATAAGGAGGAGGGAGAAAACTTGTGCATCTTGGCCTCTGAGGATAGAACAAGAAGCAATGGGCTTAAACTGCAACAAGGGAGGTTTAGGTTTGACATTAGGAAAAAGTTCCTAATTGTCAAGGTAGTCAAACACTGGAATAAATTTCCCAGGGAAGTTGAGGAATCCCCATCTCTGGAGATATTTAAGAGTAGGTTAGATAAATGTCTATCAGGAATGGTCTAGACAGTATTTGGTCCTGCCATGAGGGCAGGGGACTGAACTCGATGACCTCTCGAGGTCCCTTCCAGTCCTAGTATTCTATGATTCTATAACAGTGGATTAAGCTATTATTGCTTGATGAGAGATACATTCATAATACTTTTCCACAAGATCCCTTCTCATTATTCAAAGTAGGACACAAGGCAAAAGAATCCTTGTCTGAATTCAGTCACTAACTGTTTTTTTTTCCTTGCAAAATTCATCTTGCAAGAGTTCTGAATTCCCCAAGACATGTTCACTTTGATTGTAAGTGCATGCAGCGACTCTGAAACAAATGAATTATATCTGCCTGCTCGATCACTGAATTTGGATTTCTGGAGCCTACTCTATATCAAGCTATCAGACTATAATCTGAATAATTCTATTTAAGATGTTCATTAAAAGATTTTGTGCTGCTTTAATCTTCTGTGGCCCTGTGTAATTACCAGCACTGACCAAACCGGTACTGTATTTCCAAAACTTCTGAATGAGCATGCATGCAAACACACATACCGACCTCCCAAGGATAGCACTCTAGTACTTTAAAAAATAGCCTAACTAGCATTTCCTATACTACAGCATGTTATAAAATAATTCATTCTTCTCTTGAGCTAGTGCTGTCTACTCAGGAACTTAGGTCAGCTTAATGTTGAAGTTCATAGTTAAACTGACCTAATTTTCTAGTTTATACCAGGCCTTACTTTTCTAGTACAGCTTATCAGCCCTTCCAACATTTTTCATTGTATAGATCAGGTGTGTGCGATTGCTGGTCAGCAGAGGGCCAAAAATCAGAAATTTTAGGAGACTTGCCTGGTCATGGAACAATGGTAAATAGTCTCAGAGAAAATTAAAAGTATTTTTTTTTAATTTGGATGTGAATTTAGTCTGAAGGGTATCAGACTGACTCTTGGAGACTGACATCTTCTATTTATCACAGAATTTGGACAGCACCGATAGAGCAAGCTTCCCCATGATGCCCTGCAAACATGTCGCTAGCCTTGCTTTGAAGAATCATCTCTACAGGCTTGTGATACATTCACAGGGCTGTATGGAGAAGCTTGTACTGCTGCCACCTGGTTCTCTGAGCTGAAACTAGGAACAAGGGTGATAGCCTGGGAGATATGTTTATTGGCATTTCTCCCATATTCATCTCTATAGTATCTCAGCACTTTGCAAAGTTATTTTTCCTTTGGAATATTATTATCCCTGGGTTACAGATGGGTAAATAAAGGCAAAAAGATATTAAGTATCAGACAAAGTCTGCAGCAGAATCAGGAACAAAGTCCATGTTCCATTCTTGAGCCCTACCCATGATAACCACACTTGCACTCTCAAAATGAAAGACTCTCTAACCCATTACCCAAGTCCTTGAACCATCCTTCACTGAGAACATTCCTGTGTTACATGAGAAAAAGGGATAGATACAATCTGCTCTATTCATGAAAAAGGAAAATAGGACAGAGCCAGATTCTGCAGTACAAAGACCCTGGTATTGTGATCTGATTGTCCAGAGACCTTGATGGGAGCAAAGTAATTCTGTCCAGAATGCCCTAGGGAAACTTTCAACTACCATCTTCTTCAACCGTCTATGTCCGTAGTGTCCAACCAGTTCTGAAGCAGTAGCCACTATAGTGGCTACAGCTACAGCAAACTAGCCACACTCAACTGGCCAAATAGCCTCATGTGACTAGTGTGTTGGACACCATGGGTCCAGGACCAGTACTGTAACCCTTTCTCAGGCAAGACTTCTGTTAATAAGATCTTTGCGTAACTAAGGATTTAGGACTGGGCCTTAACATGACTTCAGCCAGTCAAAAGTGAACAGGAAATATTTATCCTGATTCACACCTTTCATTTCCTAATTCAATTATAGGAGTGGTCTACTCTGAACTGGGATAACAGGGTGTGGATAGGATCTGTCCATTAGACTGATGCAAGCCTGATTACTTTATGGAAATCTCTTTAAAAACAAAACACATAGGCATGCCACAAATTACCTTTAATTGCTGTTGCTTTTATATTGCTTGTTGCTTTAATTCTCTGAAGTTGCTTTAATTCTCGTATCTGTCTTACGAACTTACAGATACATTTTTCAGTGTTGATAGCTAATAACAACAGAAGTGTTTAAAAAAATTAAGTCTCATGAAAAAAGTTACATTAATGCAAATTTTTGTATTTAAACTTTCCCTTAAATTCCTTCATTCCCAAAACAGTAACTTCAGATTGGTGCAGGAGAATCAGAAACAACCAGAAGGGAGGCAAAATTTAAGTTTACTAATCTAGTTACACTGTCCAGGCTGCGTAAAGGAATGTAAAAATAATGTAAATGTTTTCATATTTAATATTTGCAGTGTTGCTATAGCCATGTAAGTCCCAGGATATCAGAGTGACAAGGTGGGTGAGGTAACATTTCATACTGATGGAACTTGTATTTGTGAAAGAGACAAGCTTTTGAGCTCCAGAGAGCACTTTGTCAGGTCTGGGCCTCCCACCCACAGGGGAATGCATATGTTTTATACATACACTTTGCATTTCTGGAGAGTCTTGAGTACAAAAATGTCAAGGTAATTTATAAGCAGTAACAAATTTAGCCTCACAGTCCACTTGTGAAGAATTATTCTACCCATTTTACAGATAAGATTAAGTGTTAAATTAATTCCTGAGAGAAAGGAAAGCCTTTTGGTTAGGGTTTGGGAATGGTAATCAAGACACCAGCATCCTGGTTCTGCTGAAGAAGTCTGAAGTAATCTTGGGAAAATCTTAAGCAATGAGAAGTCCAGTGGCACCTTGTAGACTTAACAGATTTCTTGGAGCATAGACTTTCATGGGCAAAGACCCACTTCGTCTGAAGAAGTGGGTCTTTGCCCATGAAAGCTTATGCTCCAATAACTCTGTTAAGTCTACAAGGTGCCACAGGACTTCTCGTTGCTTATGCAGATTCAGACTAACACAGCTACCCCTCTGAAACTTTGGAAAGTCAGTTAATTTACAGACAAGGTGTCCCTTCAAGGGCAGTACTGGAGTATTTCATTTTCCCTGACAAAGTTAGCAACAAGGGAAAGACAGGTAAGAGCAAGAGGAACATCCAAAAATAGATACTACAGGAGAGCAGCCCTTTGGAACAGTCAGTTTACCAAACCTGTCATGCAAGTACATTAAAAACCAGTCTTTTTACAAATCTCAGCCGGACACTTCACCCTCTTTACCCTTCCCTTCAGATGCTGCCTGCATTACAAATATCATCCAATTTAACTAAAACCCTGTATACATTCAACACACTGGGCAGGTAAGATAATATTGTCAAAGGCTGCAGTCTTTTAAACTAGTTAAAAGCTGCTCAATATCATGTAAGTTACAAACAGAAAGAATTTATATTAAAAAATTCTCCAACTCTGGGTGCACAGGGTGCATGCACAAACCCATATGGCATACAATGTAGGACCATCACTGGAAGAAGAATGCTTGAGATTCCTAAGGATGTTTATACTACTCAGGTTTTAGCAACAAGGCTAAAAGTCAGTGTGAATGCAGTTTGTCAGCACTTTTGCAGACAAAATACTTGTTTTTCAACAATGAGTGGTTTTCAAAGCAGCGTTCCCATGTGCACTTGCCCCAGCAAGTGGTAGGGGTGGGGGAGTGTTACATACCCCTGAACGACAAAAGTTTTGTCAAGTGTAAGTGTAGACAGCCTAGAGTCCAACAACCCCTTATCTCCAAGACTGTCCAGAAAAGAAGACAGAAATACCTGGACCACCCACCTAAAAAGAGGAAACCTGAGTGTCACAGAGTCCTGGCTGAGCTGTCAGGGTAGCTGAAAGGACACAGATAATGGACACAGACAAAGCAGCCCTTTGCGGAGCAAGGCAGTAAGAAGGGAAACTTAGGGCGCTTAACACAAGGGGCCCTGCAGCATGCACCTGGGTAGGCAGGGATGAGGAGCCTGCGGGGTTAGATGCAGGAGTCACAGAGCTGTCAAAGCACAGACTCCAGGAGTGGTGCAGCTCAAGGTTTTCCACAGATGAGGGGTCTCTCCGGGCTCGGGGCCCGATCCTGTCACCCCTCCCCCGCTTTTCCTACCCTCTGAGGAAGGACCGACAGGATCGGGCCCTAACTCCTCGCTCCCGAGGCTTAGTCCGCGCCTGCCCCCACCCGGGTCCCGCCAGTAAAGGGTGTGAGAAGATCCGAGCGTGTCCAGGCGCACTCAGCCCCCCGCGGCCACGGGAGAGCGGCCCCGGCCCGGCTGCAGCGTGGCAGGGCGCCCAGGCAGAGCCCCGCCCGGCAGGGGAGGGCGCCGAGCTCACCTGTCTCAGCCCCGCGCAGCGATGAGGGGCGCCGGGGCGCCGGGCACCATGGGCAGGAGCAGCCGGCTCAGCCCCGCTCTGCGCGGTCCCCTCCGGGCAGTTGCGCGTTTCGGTGCCTCCCGCGGAGCCTTCAAGGACTTGCCGGGTTCCCGGCCGGCAGCGGCTTTTAACCCGCCCCTGAACGCTGCGTCTCCTCCCCTGCGCGCTAGGGCAGCCCCGAGCCCCGGTGCGAGCCGGGCTGTCCCGCCCCTTGCTCCGCCAGCCCTTCTCCCAGCCCGGGCACACGCGGGCAGTGGTCTCCGCCTGGCAGCCGGACACTCCCCAGTGCCCAAGGGGCTGCCCCCTACTGTCTCCTTACCCCCTCCCACCGCCTCGCCACAGCCAGCCCAAAGCCGCTGGCCCTGCTGACCACACCAGCCGAGGCAAAAGCACTTCACGGTGAAGACACAGCCCTCCCCCGCTGCTTTGGCCCATTGGTTTCAGTGGGAGTGGGGATGTCCGACGAGACTCAGGGAGCATGACGGGGGCTAAAGTCGGGAATGTCCTGCCCTGCCTAGGAGTCAGGATCGGGTTATTTTTCAAGTTAATTCTATCCCTCCCCATTGAGCAGGTTTCATATAGCCACTTCCCTTTACCCCCAGAGAGCCTAACTCCCTGCCTCAGGAAGAGAGGGGCTTGGGCCATTTGGGCCTTTCACCATAGAGGAAGCAGTGACCACAGTCTGCAGAGCTCCCTTCTAGCCAGGCCATGCAGTCTGGAATAAGACAACCTTTGTCAAACTATTCAAGAACAACTTATACCTCCAGATCAGCGGCACAGCCGTGGGTACACGCATGGCCCCACCGTACGCTAATATCTTTATGGCTGACTTAGAACAACTTTTCCTCAACTCCGGTCCCCTTTTACCCCTTCTTTACTTACGCTACATCGATGACATCTTTATGATCTGGACGCATGGCTAAGAAACACTGGAGACATTCCACAGAGATTTTAACAACTTACACCCCACCATCTATCTCAGCCTGGACCATTCTACACTAGAGATCCATTTCCTGGACTACACAGTACAAATCACCAATGGAAAATTAGACACCACTCTCTACAGAAAACCCACCGACTCATACAGTTACCTACATGCCTCCAGCTCCCATTCAGAACACACCATATGATCCATCATCTATAGCCAAGCCCTTCAATACAACCGCATCTGTTCTAATCCCACTGACAGAGACCAGAAACTTCAGGATCTCTACCAAGCATTTATAAACCTCAATTACCCACTGGAGAAATAAAAAAAACAAATTGAAAGAGCCAGACGAATACCTAGAAACCATCTACTTAAAGACAGACCCAAGAAAACCAACAATAGAACACCACTTGTCATCACCTACAGCCCCCAACTTAAACCTGTCCAACACATTATCAATAAACTACAACCTATACTGGAACAGGATACCATACTCCAAGAGGCTCTGGGAGACAGACCCACAGTCTCCTATAGACAACCACCTAACCTCAAGATGATTCTTACCAACAACCACAGGACATACCACACTAATACCAACCCTGGTACCTTCCCTTGCAACAAAACCCATTGCCAGCTTTGTCCACATATTCACTCTGCTGATACCATTATTGGACGTAACCAAGTGAGTTATAAGATCAAGAACACATATTCCTGCGCATCCAGAAATATAATTTATGCTATCATGTGCCGAAAGTGTCCGTCTGCTATGTACATTGGACAAATGTCTCAGACACTTCGCCAAAGAATCAATGCCCACAAAACAGATATTAGACAGGATCACAAAGAAAAAACAGTTTCTTGCCATTTCAACCAGAAGGACATTGTCTCAACGACTCGATTACCTGCATCCTGCTTGAAGACCTTTTAAGACCACACTTGAAAGAGAATCCTCTCATGCTTAAATTTGACACTTTACGCCTAAGTTTAAACAAAGACATTAATTATCTTACCCATTACAAAGATAGCTTCCCCAATTATCACCTCTAATATCATTAGCTCACAGACATGTACCTTCCCTCTCTATCCCCGTTCTGTTCTGAAATTTGATTTGTCCTCTTCATATTTTTTAATTGTATCCTTTGGTATATATGGTTGCGACTATTTTCTTCCACTATTTGATCTGAGGAAGTGGGTCTGGCCCACGAAAGCTCATCACCTAATAAACCATCTTGTTAGTCTTTAAAGTGCTACATAGTCCTGTTTTTTATTCAAGGTCAGGGATGCTGAACTGAGGATGTTCAAAAAACCCTCAAATACAAAAGGCAGGAAGAAGTGAAGGTAAATAACTCAGTCCTCAAGTCCTTAGTAATCCTCACTATAGTTAATGGGAGTTCTTCCACTGTCCGCAGGATAGCTTCCAATGTGAACATGATCTGTCAACAGAGGGGCCAAGTGTACACATGCATTGGTGACTTTGCCATTAACAATTTCTGTGTGTCGATATTAGTTGCCTTGACAAAACTTGATAGTGCAGACACACCTTAAACCCTCACAAACCAGGTACTGAGCCCAACTCCCATTTGCCAGTGGCAAAATCTTCTTGACTTCATTGGGAGAAAACCTGGGTCCCTTTTGCTGAGCAAAAAATGCCAATGGCCAGTTTTCCCAACAGAAGCCATGTTGCAGCATTTACACACATACAAAGTTTTGTCACCAAAACACACTTTTGCTCAACAAAACTTGCCAACGTAGACAAAGCCTTAGCTGTTTTAGGTGGGAAATGTATTGGGAATTTGAAGTTTACTGTGAAGGAGACCGAAATGTTATAGCAATTATAGAAACATCAAAGCAAGGCTATGGTTCACTCAGTTTTCAGTTCCCTTCTCATGGCTGAAGAAACACCTTATTTTTCATATCTAGAAGAAACAAAATTCCCTATCTTTGTACTTTTAGAACTTTGTCACACCCATATGCTTCAAGCAATGATTTTAAACCCTTTCCCCTTCCAAATAAAATGTACAATTGGCTAGCACAGTTCCCTCCAGCTTTGGATGAAAGTTGGACATGTGTTTGTACTTGCTAGGAATACCAGCACAAAGGTGCAGATGATCAACAGCATCTAGCTAAATTCTTCTGCCTTTCACTTACAAAAATAACAAATAATCTCACAGAAATGTTCTAGTAGTAAATAAATGATCACCAATATCAGTCCTTCAAGCAAATAGATATGGGAATGCCTAGCATAAGCAATTTAACCGTATACTGGGATCATTCTAAATTGTCATCAGTTGACATCAATAGAGATTTTGCCATTCATTCCAGTTGGGTCAAGATCATAACCACTGTTTTGTGACAGCAGTCTGAACTAGAAAGAAGTAAATACTTGGCTCTGATCCTTCTCCTAAAATCATTGACTTCATTGGAAGATCTATGTGCATGGAGTGCCTGCAGGGTCAGTCCCATAAAACTCAAGAAAGATATGTCACAAAAGGTTTGGGTTATTTACAGCCATGAACTTCTGGTTTAAAATGAAATCTGGGACTTTCTATGTTGAGGGTTGGTCTACACTATGGAGATAGGTCAATCTAAGCCATCTAATTTGCATTATGTTAGTAGCATAACTCAAATCAATGTAGCTTAGATCTACTTTCCATGAGGGCTACACTGTACTGGGTTGTCAGAATAAATCTTCCATCAACTCCCATTACTCTTCTTGCTCTGGTAGAGTACTAGAGTCAATGGGAGAGCAGTTGGCGGGATGCAATAAATCAGCCCCCACTGGATTGATCCTTCCCATAGTGAAGACATGTCCTAAGAGTATTGATCATTGAACAAATCACATCCTACTCTCATTAACAAATCACAGAAATTTACATCAGTTCACTACATGCCTGCTCCATCAACTCATTTTATTTAAAGGTCAACAATACTGTGAACAATGAACAAGTCTATACTATGGGTAAGTCTATAAAAGTAAGTTTCCATAAGTTATATCATCATACAGCCATCACAGCAAATGAATTAGATTTACATGTCCACACTGCGACCTTGTGTTGGTGGTGTGTGTGTCCTCACCAGAGCGCTTGAACCAATTTAACTGCCAGTGTGGAGTATTGTGTGATGGTTTCTGAAAGGCAGCAAAGTTGATGTAAGTAGGGTGACTGGGTAGCAAGTGTGGAAAATTAGGATGGAAGTGGGGGATAATAGGCTCCTATATAAGACAAAGCCTCAAATACTGGAATTGCCCCTATAAAAACTACACTGATGCTGCATCAACCTAACTACCTCTGCTTAAGTGCTGTGCCTCTCATGGAAGTGGAATTGTGGGAGCTACATTTTAGTGTTGACCAGGGCTGGCAACAGATTTTGCCAGACCCTGGGCAATGTGTGTGCGCGTGTGTGAGGGGCTTTGTTCTAGGGCCCCCAGAAGAGGTGGGGCCTCAGGTAGAAGAGGCGGGGCTAAAGAGGATCCAGCCCTCAGTGCTACCTGGACCGTGCCACAAGGGGCTCTGGTGGTGATTTAAAAGGTCCCGGAGTTCAAGGCCCTTTTAAATCACTGGGCTTTGGAGCCACTGTCTTTTCCCTTGCCCCCCTTTATCCCCGGGTGGCAGCCATGGCGGAGAGGTATAAAGAGGTCAACATTAGGGATGTAAAATCCCCTTTAATTGATTAACTGGTTAAACATTTATTATCAGAAACATTTCCAGGTTGGTGCTGGGAAATACACACTCTGACTCTAGCCAGGAGTGGTTCAGTGCCTCCCACCCCTACCCATTTGGAATACATTCCTGTACTCTATTGACATGGGAGGGTTTTCCTCATTGGCAGTTAAAGCCTTCTGGGTTAAATATTAGTTTAAGTATGATTGCTTCATTGTCCACCTTAAAGGTAGTTTATTGTTGAGATCAAGGGGCCCTCAGAGTGTCAGGCTTGCCAACAGGGGGAAGGAGACAAAGGGGGCAATTATCCCAGGGCCCAGAGATTGAAAAGGGCCTGGGGCTCCCAGCAGCTGCCCGAGGCCCTTTAAATCACTGCTGGAGCACCGCATAACATGCTCCAGCAGCACTAAGGGTTGTGCGAGAGATGCCACAGTTCAGGCAGTTTTGAGCGCTGGCTGTCCCTGGCCCCTTTCCTCCTGAGCATGGAACTGCCCTGCCCCTTGCCCAGT